AGGGGGGGGGGGGGGTGTTAGTCGTCTGTGCTGTCGCCCTCCCCCCCATGGGATGCCAATATGAGACTGCCTCATTATAGGACGCCCCTGCTTGCAGATCACATAATAACTGGATTTGGGACTTGTTTAGACCGTCATATAGAAGCTTTTAGTTGTAATTTAAGGCCAGGTTATCCCATAGAGTGTTTTCAGCTGATCGGCAGACCATGGACTGAATAAAAAGAAACCGTAAAGCAGATTGATTGTGTAAATCGCACCGCACATAATACAATCTCATTGGTAGATCTATAGGAGATTGTATAGACAGATTGTAATGTGTGTGGTGAGCTTATTACTACTAGCAGGCAGCAAGTAGAGCCCTATATCTAATAAGCAAATGGCTACCCCGATGTACAGATATATCATTAAAAACTATACACAGAAACAAGATTATTAAAACATTAAAACACTTTTATTATGTACACCGAGGTGATCACATTTTCCTGCATATCTGAAATACAAAAAGAATGTAAAAAGACTTTAGTATTACATTATTATCAGTATATCTGATTTGTATAGAACCATGGTCTCCCATGGTGCTGTACTGTGAATGGTAAAAACAAAGGTGATTAATAAAGGTAATAAAAAGATAAAAATAAAATCAGATCAGAAGTATAAAGCAAAACATAAACCGCAATTACAAGATACAATAGGAGAGAAACTTCCCTCCAGTGGACATGTGGACATCTGATTCCAGCTCACCGGGACATGAAACTCGGAATGCATAAACACATTCGTTAGATACATTTTATATACTATATATATATATATATATATTCTGGGGGGTTTTATCTCACATGCAGTTCTCATTTTAGCAGATAATAATCAATACATATTTAATAAGATCACCATTAAGAATTGATCCCTCTGAGCCAAAGATTGACCCATCACTTGGATGGGCAGCCTCACTGGCCAATTCAAATCTATGGAATGTGAAAAGGGAAGGGCAAGTTTTGACACTAACAGGAAGTGCCGAAACTGACAGAAAATCACAGTGATCACATGATCCGGAAGCACGGGTAAAGCCATTGGTGTTTAGAGATCCTTAAAGGGCCATCGTGAGCTAACAGGGAGGGGTTAAAGAGGAACTTTACCCATATCTTCAAAATAACAACAAATAGACCTTTAGAAATGTGTAGTGATGACAATCTACAAACAGATACTTATACATAAGTGCCAGATTTTTATTCTTTGCATTCCTTATTTCTCTTTTCTTTCCCAGTCTTCTGACAGTGGACATTTTTACTTAGGACAGGTTACTAGATCTCCCTTTACTTCCTGGATTACTGGCGCATGTGACTAGGACACATGCACATCATCTCAGGCGAGGAAAATGCCTTTCCCTGAGATCTCATGAGATTTCCCAGCAATGCTCCGCTGATGTAACCTTCCCAGGATGCAATGCTTGGGCATGATTACATCACTTTTGCCAAAGAGGAGCAGGAAGTGGGAAAACAATAATTGTAAGTAAAAGCAAAATGTATGTATTAAACTAATGAATGTGAGATGATTTCATATCAGCATTCAGAGCTGCATGCTGATGTGATTTTTACTCTATGAGGGTAAAGGTCCGCTTTGAGGAATGTACAGCCAAGTTCAAATATATTGTTTGTGAGTTACTGACCGGTCCGTGTTAAACAATAATAAATTCCGTTACCCAACAGCAAAAACAGAGCAGCACCCCGGAGAGCAGGAGAAGGATGGCAGCCTATCAGCTAGCTCTAAGGCTTGTACAGGCAGCAAGGAACTCCAAACTGGACCCTGAGAGTCTGAGGACATACCTGAAACAACTGAAGACGAAATACAATTGTAACTTCACCGCTTCTTGCCATTTATCTACAGAGTCCAGCGGATAAAGACTTGTGGAACGGAGATTGTGTAGCGTATAATGGGCTGTGCAAACAATGCTCAGCTGTCGTTTTGGTTGGGTGCCAACTGATGTAAGAACAAGGACTGAGAATAATTTGTAATAAATGTAACCGAACACCGTTCCATCTTCATTCTTCTAAACCACCCAAATCAGATGGACCTCAATGTTGTCCTGTTCATCTAGTCAGATACATTACAATCGGATTGTACAGTTGGCTATAAAATCTCCTCTGGGTATATAACAAAAATAAAGTTGCGCTAGAATACCCACATTTCACATACATCAAGTCTAGTTATATAGGAGCCTCGCATTGAATAGTTGTTGGCAATTCTAAAGTAGACGGCACAGCTCAGATTGTGTGTATTTGGTTAAAGTCAGGATACAGACCGTGTACCCATCACCGCTGCTCCAAAAATGGAAGGTGGGTGCAGCAGGTGTCAGCGGGGGGCTTCCGACAAAACATAGGTAAAGGATGGACAGCGGCACTCCAAAGCAAGTTCTGTATGTGTTTATTAACGTACTAGTTGCAAGTAGAACACTAAACAACATTTCGGGGTCTCACAGGATCCCCTTCATCAGGCAAAAAAATGATGACATGTTAGCCTGATGAAGGAGATCCTGTGAGACCCCGAAACGTTGTTTAGAGTGTTCTACTTGCAACTAGTACGTTAATAAACACATACAGAACTTGCTTTGGAGTGCCGCTGTCCATCCTTTACTTATATTTAGTTAAAGTGACACTGAACTCAGGAGTTAAATCCTAAAAATGCATTCAAAGTACCTTAACTAGTAACAACAATGTATCTTACTTGTGTATCACTGGGCTGTAGATCCTCAAATCATCTCTGAATTGGTGCTGACACTGTCCTTCCTTCTGGAGGGTGGCTACTTTTTTTCCCCATGGTCCGTCTGTGTTGTAAAGTAGTCACCACTCCAAGCTCGCTCCCGGGATGGACTACAAATGAGTAAACTGAACATGAGGTTGTAGTCCATCACGGGAGTGAGCTTGGAGCGGTGACTACTTTACAACACACACAGGGACCATGGGGAACAAAAGTAGTCACCCTCCAGAAGGAAGGACAGTGTCAGCACCAATTCAGAGATGATTTGAGGATCTACAGCCGAGTGATACACAAGTAAGATACATTGTTGTTAATAGTTAAGGTACTTGAATGCATTTTTAGGGTTTAACTCCTGAGTTTAGTGTCACTTTAAGTGATCTCAGCCAAAGAGTAGCAGAGATTTAGCAACTAAATGACAAGAATGATAGTCATCAGATCCACTAGGCAGGATCATAGGGCCCGGTGGATGTCCAGGGGGGCCAACTACAACCCTCATGCAGCAAATAAGGTAGATAGAGAAATTGGTCAAAGCTTTGTCTGTGCTTCTCAGGGCTTGTTCACATCAAATCCGGACCAGATCTGCACGAGTTTCTGCATACACAGTGCAGTTCGTTTTGACGCGTTCCAGGCCGTTTTTAGCCTAAAATGGGCTTTCCGTGTGTTCCAGGGCGTTTTTGGTGTGTTCCAGAGCAGAAAAAATAGGGCATGCTGCAGTTTTTCCACATGCACTGGAACTGAATGCTGTGGTGTGAACTAGAGCCCTAAATATCATTGGAATACATGGGATGCATTTTTGATGCGTTCTGTAACTGCTCTGCACTTGGTGTGAACAAGCCCTCTAGGGAGGATGTACTTGCAGGCAGTTGATGTCTGATGAGGTGATACCAATACAGATAATGCAGATGGGGCGCTTCTCTGTGCCTATTCCAATCATTGTCAGTCAAAGAAGGAAGGGGGGGCTGCTACCTTCCCAAAGGCCCCATTCTGCTGTCAGCCGTCTCGTGCAGCAGAGAGAGCTCACAGCAGCATTGTCTCCAGGGAAGTTTTCTTTTTTAGTGTTTTTGATGAATACAATGGAATGTGAACACAGTAAATAGTAGCAGCATTTCCACACGTCTTGATAAACGAGGACAAGGTAGGATTTGCATAAATACGCATATAAAGGAAAACATTGATAACAGCCATCGTATGTTGGATCTCACGCGAGCTCTCTGCAGTGTTACTCCTCCATTACCGGAGTGTGGATTGAATGAAGCCAACGAGGTAAAAGACGATATGGAAAGACGAGTTTCACAGTCCTTATGTTACTTAATCTTTATCCTTCTCTGTATGCCCTTTGATATTAAGGGCCCATTGGGTTATGGCACCTCAATGCACCTGTGTCCTAGCGCGGCATAATGCATGGTAGTGCATTGCTTTAGGAAAAATGGGTCGTGTGATATTTAGCACATTATGGTGCAGTGCAGCCCATTCATTTCAATCATGTGTTACAGCTGCAAGAGGAAAAATGTCCTTTGTTGCAGTTTATGAGTCCTCAGGTGGCTGGATCAGTTTTCTTTTTTTGCAGTTTTGTTCCCATGTCAGTACCTGCCAGTAACATACGTCCTGTCCTAGAGTGACACCGCTCACTTACTATACTGTATTTATGAAGGAGCAGCATTGTCACCCTAGCATAGCAAGTGTGTTAAGAGGGCAGAACAGCCCCTCATGTCCATAACATAAAAGGGGGGGGGTGTTGAGTAAGGATGGGCTCGGGCGTGTTCGCAGCTCCACGTGCCGAGCCCGCAAGGACCTGACAGGGCCAATCACAGGCACGGAGACATTTCCCGATCTCTGCAGCTTGCGGGCCAGGAAAATGTCTCAGTACCTGTGATTGGCGCTGTCAGCTTCCTGGCGGGCTCGGCACGTGGAGCTGCGCCCAAGCCCATCCTTAGTGTTGAGTAGCTCACACAGGTAAACTGGGCGGGAAGAACAGCTTTCTGGGACGATCAACAGCACTAACCAAACATATATGACCCTTTAGGGCTTGTTTCCACCAGCCTGTGTGTCTACCGCAATGTCCCGTGCCATTCAACTCAATGGCACTGCAGACACACACATAGCGCATGCATGATTTTTTGCGATCCCATCGCACTGGAACGCAGGGCGTTTTATTACCACGCGTTCCTGTGTGGCCGATCGTACTGCGGGCGTGAGGTGTGTGTGTCTGCAGTGCCATTGACTTGAATGGCACTGACACGCCCAAGAACGCAAGGAGACTTTATATTTGCGATCCGGGCACAGGACTTTGCGGTAGACGCACGGGCTGGTGGAAACAAGCCCTCAAATGTTACCATTAGCAGACCAAAAGGAGGCAAATAAGAGAAGTTCATTGTTAGGGTGTAACTCCGGACAATATGGATTGTTTCAATAGGGTAAGCGACAGTTTATTATTTATTTTTTGAATATGCTGTTTCATCTTCCCATTGTGATGTATTTCTTTTCACTTCACTTTTCACTTTCACATATGATTTTAATGTACAAAATGTTAAGTGGCGATGGCAACATCAGCAATAAACCTTTTACTGTAAACTCCATAACAAGTACGAGAGGCCACCACCTAAACCTGGTGGAGAAAAGATTTAATCACAAAGGGCATAGGGGATTCTTCTCAGTTAGAGCGGTTACATTTTGGAACTCTCTGCCACAAGCAGTGGTATCAGCATTCAAAAAGCATTTAGATACCTTCCTCAGAGACCGTAACATACAGGGCTACAGGTACTCTTAAAAACTAGTCCACACAGGGACTCTTAGGCCTTGTTCACACCAAATGCAGAGCAGATCCGCTCAGGTTTCTGCACACGCAGTGCAGTGGGTTGTGCCGCGTTCTTGATGCGTTCCGGGCCGTTTTTGGTTAAAAAAATATATATATATATATTTTTTTTTTTAGTTTAACATGGGCTTTCAGTGCATTTCAGGCATTTGCATGCATTTTTGATGCGTTTGCAGATCCAGAGCAGGTAAAATAGGGCCTGCTGCAGTTTTTTAACCTGCTCTGGACCTGCACGCTGCAATGTGAACTGGAGCAAAGAATACCATTGGAATACATTGGACGCAGTTTTGATCCGGTCTGCAACTGCTCTGCACCTGCTCCGCGCTTGGTGTGAACAAGGTCTTATACACATGCACGCACAACAAACACACACAAACGTTGAACTCGATGGACTTGTGTCTTTTTTCAACCTCAAATACTATGTAACTATGTAAGACTCTGCAACCTGCCGTGGGCGGGAGGCACTGTATAGTCCAATGTCAGCTGCCACCGCCTGCAGTAGTTTGCACATAATGGCACAGGCTGTGATTACCTGCCGACGACTTTACCTGGAGGAATTCGTGGAACTTATATGACGGGGCCTTAAAATAGAATCCTTATTTACAAAAAAACAATGCCCGTGCGCAGTATACTATGGTAGCCAGTCAATTTGCAGTTTGCCGAAGTTAGACTATTGAAGGAGGACATTTAATTGGTCTCTAAACGCTGCAGCGCTTTACATGTAGCTCTGTCCCGGACTGAACAGACATAAAAATGTCACCACATCTTATAGTATCATTCCGTGCCCTCAGTAACTGAAGTATTTATAGTCTGGTGTTTGGAAGCCGTCATAAACCATGTTCTCCTTTCACCGCTGACAGCGCCTATCACTAAAACACCGGCCACCAGCCACCTTTTTATTCTTCTATTCTACCTGCGAATGATGAAACCTCCATTCTGCTCAGTAACCCCGTGCCCTGTGTAATAGAGGACGCCATAACTCTTCCTTCATGCACCACCCTGTAATAGAAGCGTTCCATTTCTGAGCATTGCCTATAATTACTGGCAGAGCACCGCTGATATAGAGCTGTTTACTGAAATGTTTCTCAGTAACTTCTACACAAATCATTTCATTGTACCTGTCCTTGCCAAGAGTCTAAATCACAGCGGTTTGTGTCATCACCGGGAGCCAGGGCGGGCGCACTGACCCGCAGCCCTTGTTTGCTGCAGAGGAGTCGGGCCCAGGAGGGGTGTAAAGGGGAATTTCTTAGACATTAAAGTGACATTAAAGTCAAAAATGTTTTTGGCACTTACCTTAAATGATGTTTCTTAATCCGATCTTCTTTCCTGTCC